CTATTTGATATGATTAGGGTTAGGGTTAGGGTTAGGATTAGGGTTAGGGTTAGGGTTAAGGAGTAGGCGTAGGCGACTCCCTAGACTCGTTAGTGGAGTAGGCGAGGTACGGTCCGGCATATTAGATAGTACTAGGGTACGTTCCGGTATACCGGACCGTACCCAGGGTACGTTCCGGCAGTACCCTGGGGGACATAGACCCTCTCAGCCTGAGTGAGTGTAACCATATGTAGATACAATAATGTAACCCAACAAGAGTAGGTTACCCCTAGACCAATAAATTGTGCCCTAAAAATTTTTATATTCTGATGTTATTTTAGGGTAAATAACCTAAATAACCTAAAATAACATCAGAATATAAAATTTTTTAGGGCACAATTTATTGGTCTAGGTTACCCCTACTCTTGTTGTGTTACATTATTGGGCTGGCTATCTAAACCATATGGTGTAACCTGGTAACCTCGTCCCCGTAGCCGTGTGTCTACCTGTCACTAATGCTGATAGGGTCTATTAGGGGTGTAACGATATACCGGTATATCGGTATATTGCAATTTATTTTTAAAACTCGATATATCGCGATACAACTTCAGGATATCGATATTTTACGATACGGTGGTATAACAAGAAATAAACTACTTGACACTTGCTTTTATGTCTATATTGTTAATGGGCTCGAAAATTATGCACTGGCGGTGTATATACTACGAAAGCACAATGCCTGCATGACGCATACAGTATTACTGGTAAGTGGCAGAGTGGGGCAGACGCGTGAGCGAGCACGTCAACCAGGGAGTTTATATATAGCCTATGCTCGCCTGAGTGCCCGCGCGCGCGCGATACAAGCTGAAGTGAGCGCCCACTATCGTTCAACAAGACTATTTTACTGTGCTGGCGCGCTCGGTCGAGCGCACTGGTTCTTGAACACGCATCAGTCTAGCGTCGATCTAATATCACAACGAGGCAGCCAAAATAGCAGCGCCTGTAGCAGACGATTTGTTTGAAATTATCTCCAATAAAAGGACAAAAGCTGATGAATGGCAACACTTCGGATTGAAGAGATCCAAACTTGATGGTAGCGTTGTTAATAATAATGTGCTACAATCACTTTACAAATGCAAATTACATAATAATACAATATATGATGATAAACCATCAAATTGTTACTATATCATGCATGGTATCAGGGCCGTAGTGGCCGCCACGGCAGCACGGCACTGCCGTGGCACTATTTAAGGACAACTGTGAGTTAACGTTCATATTTTAAACAAGGCAAGTCAAAGGTGGTAATGGAATAGTTTTATTTGAGATATACAGAGTTATTCATCTCGATCTGCAGAGGTGATAGGTTTTTTGTATGGAAGGGTGTCAGGCTGTATAGACAATCCGTCGCACAGCCTGGTCGGGCTAAGGGACCTCAGGCTCTGAGGCCTAGTTCAGTAGTTGGTACAACTTACAACTTACAAGGATAGTCTGTCAGAGAGCATGGTTGGTATGTAATTTTCGTGAATTTGGGGGTACATTCTTAAAAATCGAGAGAAGTGTTGTTGAGGGTGTTGTTTCTTCATTTCGACCGAGAAATATTATGTTAGTTAACAGGAAGTGTGGAAAAAACTGCGTTGAAGCGACACTACTCGCCCGTTTCCGACTGTTTCTCACCATTGCTACGCGCGAGAATTTCCCGTCATGTTCCTCTGCTACGGACGTCAAATGTATGTGCCTATTTGCGCGCGCAATTTACGGACTGATATTACTTGCTCTCTGCAGTAAATTGCCTGGAAATCCGTTGATATTCGTTGTTTTTTTGGCAACTCATAAATCAACGACGAGAAAGTCCGCCATTCTTGTTGACTGTACCCTACTGCCCTTTCGCGGCAATCTTAGTTATATGCATAGGCCCCCCCCCCTTTCAGCTGCCGTTGGCTGCGGCGCACATCTGTCTGTCGCTGCGCGCGCCCCGCTCACATCTGACGCCGGTGAATACAGTGGTGATAGCCAGCGCGCTATAGGGCCTATACAAGCAAGATACTATCACATCTGACACGCGGGTGCCGGCTGCGGCACGCCACACCGGCTGCATACAATTCTTCCAGTTGTGTTCCATGCCTTCTGTACATGCATAAATATCTCTATCTTGTTACCTCCGCGCAACGGAGTTGCAGGGGAGGTAATGTAATCGGTCGTGTGTGTGTGTGTGTGTGTGTGTGTGTGTGTGTGTGTCCATCCCGCGCGGCGCGATCGATAGTACGTCGAGTCAGTGAGCGGCGAGTCAGCAGCAGGCAAGTGAGTCAGCAGCAGCCACCAGCGAGCGGCGAGTCAGCAGCCGCCACCAGCGAACGGCGAATCAGCAGCAGGCGAGTCAGTCAGCAACAGCCAGCAGCGAGCGGCCAGCCAGCTTGTAACACATACATGTTACATGCTCGCGGAGGTATGCACTCTCCGTGAGTGCCCTCGGTCTAGTTAGGGTTAGGGTTAGGGTTAGGATCAGGGTATTAGACAGGCACATTTTTAACACTTCACTTGTTGCATTTCTGACCTTTTCCCGTTTTGTTCTCGTTTCGGCCGTGCACGCTGACAATCACACCGTATTGCACATACAAACAGAGATGCATATGCAGACAGACATACACAGACATCAAAACACACACACACACACACACACACGCACACGCACACGCACACACACACACACACACACACACACACACACACACACAGTGACACACACGCACACACACACACACA